GGTGTCACTTACTATGGGTTATGCGAGTATTCCATTCTTCCCCGTGAATAGTCATTTTCGCTTTGAGGAAAACGAATAAATATGTAACCGTTCGAATATCTGTCTTCTTCTCGCAGTTCTACGCCATTTTCATGTAGTTTATGGTGTGTTGCTGCTGTCCGTTACTATACCGTCAGCCTTGAGTATCTTACTTTTTAAGGCAGGGTCTGAAGCTGTGGCAATAAAGGTGTGTATTTTCCTGTTTCCTTCCCACAGAGTGGTATTCATTTAACAACCTTGAAAGGAAGAAAAGCGAGTGACCCGACCGAGGTTCAAACCCAGGACCTCTTGGCTCTATGTTCGACGCTCTATCGACTGAGTAACCCGTCTGAAGCAACGTGTAATAAATTAAATCTTGCTAAATTAAATTCGTAAATGAAACAGATTGCTCTCAAACGGAATCAAAGCAGACCCTAATAGACGCTGTACTATCACACCACAGCTCGGATGATAGACGGCCTAATGAGAATACCATATTTTCTTCGCAAATTAATACACCCAATTGCCCTTTTCTAGTCGCAATGTATTTTCGGCATGGCTGTCTTAAAAGGCGTATAAAACTTTCTTCCTTAGTAACACTGCATCGTTAGCCGAAATCGTTTTATGCTAAGGATGGCCTTCGCGGAGCCGTATGCTCATGGGTATACACTTAACCATACTTAGCATTATCATGTTGTTTTATACTCATTAATGCCCGGCCTCAGAGACAGGAATGCACAAGGTTAACTATACACAGGAAAAATCATCTTAAGTGTTATAAATCATGTGAATAATAGCTCTTTAAAACTTGATTTATAACCAGACTCTGAAATGAAGTGTTTTTCGTTGAAACCCTGTGAAGTGTAACCCAGTGGAGATTTGAAGTCCACAGATGTCGTCTATCGTTCAAGTGAAGGCTTACTTATTTTATGCATGACGAGTGCAAAAGAATATAATTTAAGTTTAACAGCACAATTTAGTATCATTGAAATTGGTAAAGCTTGTGAATTTCTAAAACTATTACCGATAAAGTGCCATACAATGTATGATTATACATCATCCTGCTTACGATTAGATGGTCAACGGCACGAGGCTGTGAAAATTTATATTTGCTTAAAGGACCAATGTTTCGATTGACATTCGTCATTGTATTCTGCAGTAAAGCTGTTGGTTTATTTCCGTTCCGAAGTACTATTTAAAAATACAAAGTTGTGATGAATAGTGGTGATGAATCGAACTTTTTTATTTCAGTCATACTCCATGAAATTTAGCATGGGTGGTTTGAGCGTCACCACAGACACATCGGAAGGCTTAACAATGGTTCGGAAGCTGCAGTGCTTTTCTTAAAATTCTGGCTGCTTCTAACAGGGTCTCCTTCTGTAGTTAATCAGCTGAATTTAGTAGGCATTGATAGTCTCTTTCCGCCTGCTACGAGCGCTCGATGACCATAGAAGTAAATTTCATCTTTGTTCGCCAGATTACTTGTATTTTCATTGTCATTTCTTAATACTTCAGTATCTTTTTTCTCTACTTAATGTCGCAGTCAACCAGGCTTTCGCTTTTTTGTAGCAACATGGTTTCTCGACGTTGAACTTACATTTGTTACTCAGTTCGTATTGGAAAGTTCCAAGTTATTTTCACTTGTTCAGTCTCTTCGATGTCTTTCGATTGGTGCTTCCGCTATTGCTTTGCCATTGTTAAATTGAGTCACTTGCATAAATACCAGTGGACTATCATTGCAGTGTTGTTATGTCTTTCATTGTATTTTTGATTCGTGAGGGTTTCGCAGATGGAAATTATATGGATCACGGTCTCATCCTTTATTTGACACATTTTGCACACATTTGACACACGAGTATAGGATCATTGCTTTATCCGAGACCGTGTAGTCTTCCAATTCTTGATAGTCATTTGAAAGTCTGATAGATGCCTATTTCTTCACCGAATTGTTGAAGATACGTCCATAAAACTGACTGTTCTTCCACACATTGTATCCGTCGTCCTCTACATTTTCCTGATGATTTTCTGCAGTTCCATCTGTTTGTCGTTCTAGTTTTTACAGGTTGTTAACCTAGTTTGGCTGTTTCTAACGACGGCTCTAATTCCAGCTAATTTTACGAACCTTTGTTCCTTCTTTGTGCGGGATATTTAGTATGACCGTATCTGCTTTTGGCTATACCATCCCTTACATACTCAGAATTTTTTGTGTCTTTCCGTCCATTTCTATCTGTTCCGAATGCGTCCATTCGACGATGCCTCCTGTATAATAAGCGAACAGTGTTACCGCGTACTAAAGAATGATCTTCTGACTCCAAACCTACTGACTGCTGCAGAAAATGAGAAAATCCTCTGAAGCTCTACAAACCTCTTATATTGAAGAAGGCTGTGATATATCACGAAACGCATCGGCAATAAATTGTTGCATCATCTATTGTTTTTGGTGCCCTGAACCATGAATCGTTCAAACACTTCTCTCTATAACTGTGGTCCTAATATCAAGAGCCTGAAATATTATTTATATGAGATTGAATATTCCTGGAAGATTGCTCGCCTGATTTTCACCTCTCTCAAGTAGACTTTGTAACATAGCAGTGTTTCATCAATGATTCGAATAAATTTATTAAACCATCGTTGAAGTGGTAAATTTCCAGTCATTCGAGGATTCAGCTATGTAGCACTAAATCAAATGCCTTCCTGTAATAATTTTAGGCCATGGCCGTGTGTCTCTTTCTGATTCTGCAATCCCGATTTGCGAATTTTCCCTAGTTTCCGTTGATTTCGTGCGGCACCCATTTTGTTCAGGAAATATCATGCTGTTTTTCTCGAGGTGCTCGCAAACTGCATTGGCTGATATATACGTCAGGATTTTCCATACTTTCAGAAGGCACGCCATTTCCATGCAGTTACTCGCATCGCCATATCTCATGTATTTGTCCTTGAAGACTAGGTCTGTCAATACTTACTTTAGCCAACAGGTTGGTTCTGTTTCGAGCACTCTTTGAGAGAGTACTACTATTCGGGATTGGAAACACATTAAGCGTTTAAGTTTAAGTTGGAACGCATACACCTTATCCTAGCCTGTCGTTAAGTAATTTTCCATCTTTCTGGGCGCCTCGTCCACGTTCGATGAGTGTAACCTCTCTTTAGATTCCATGTGTATTCCTTTTTTATTTTTCTTGTTCTTCGCTTCTTTCATGTCAATTATATCATTGTCCCATTTTCTCCAGATTAGAAGTGATGCTTATGCGTTACGACCAGTGCTCCCCCCCCATTACTTGCATGTTTGTTGTTTTCCTATAGTTTTCTATAAACCGTTTTGGTATTTTGAAACAGATAGATCCGTTTCCGTTTATATCGCATGAATCTGTTTTGGTATCTGAAAAACGTTGCCGATAAAGCTAAAGGCCTCTGCTTAGCATCCCTGCATGCAGACATGAGTGTTTTGTCCGCTACCATCCTGTATATTTTCATTATATTCGTTGTCTGTTTCGTTATGTTGCCCATATTAAGTTTATGCAGTTGACTTACACTTTGGCGCATTTCTTCCTCTTTCTTTTTGATTCTCCTTAACCATGATGGCTGTTTTCTTCTTCTCGAATTTGTTTCCAACTTAGAGCGAAGTTTCTTTGTTATCACAGGAGCTGTCGTATATATCACACCATTGATGAGTTTCAGACTGCTGATCTGTTTGTTCTTCAGGATGCTTTTAGCCTGATTGACATGTTACGCAGCTTTTTCTTGCTTCTCTCGCGTGCTAGCAAGCTAGAAAGAAACTATCCCTAATGAATAGGTATAAAGTGGTAGAATGGACATGAAGATAAATCGCCTGATGTGGCGTACAGTGGATTAAGGTTTTTCTATCGCTTACATTAGTAAACGCTTTACAACGTACTTGAACATGCATATACCAGGTTAAGGCACATAGCTAAATGACATCTGGATATTTTTCGCTTTAACAAGAGGTAACTACATTGTTATCAACGTATAAGGGACATGATGAAGTCCATTGGTTTGATTCTTTGTCTCTCGTATGATATGGATTACTTCAGTAGGTTTAGACTAATTCAAACCGAGCCTGATGTTAGTGATGTCATCCTTGCATTTTTGATACAAGAAGGCCGTTGTCGTATTTAATGCATTTGATGGTAAGGCAAACGGCACACTCACTGTAAAAATTTTGAACAGCGTGAAGGAGAGGACAGAACTGTCAGCTACTCTTTAACGGTTGTCAAAGGAAACTCGAGGAATGCAGGTTCATTAACCGCTTTGTATCTTAAAGTGAGTTATGTGTATGGGAAGCATCCACTGACTGTAAATTCGATTCGAAGTTAGAAAGGTTAGGAAAGTTTGTAACCGTTGGAATGTTGGTCTTCGTTACACTTACATGATAATGCCAGTTGTATCACCCTTGTTTTTATTAAATTAATAGTGGAGGCTCTGATCTTCGTTTTCGTGTCATCAGTAGGAGTACCTTATTTTTAATAGAGAAATTCGCAGCAGTTGTATCACAGGGGTATTCTAAATTCTCATATTTCTTTCGCACACATCTATCTAATGATACTCATTTATCAACCTCGGAAGGAGGACAGACGAACAACCCCAACTGGGACGCGACCACAAGATCTTTCGTTTGTTTGTTTGACTCTTTATGGACCGAATCAGCACGGTCTGAAATAACAT